TTGAGGTCGCCACTGCTTTTATGAAGTGGTTGCCAGGTTTTCACAACAAAACCCGCCCAATCGCGTTTCGATGGGGTCCCCGTTAAAAATCACGTTCCGGGGATAAAATACGCGTGTTTTGGCGGGGTTCCCCTGGTAAAATTCGCATTCCAGGGGCTAAATATCACGTTAATGGGGTCGTTTTTCAACCCGCGGACATGAAAAACAAGCCGCGGCAACAGTGTTAAGCAGCCCTGGAAGAGGATAGCTGGAAGAGGATAGCTTTCTGATAGTGCATCAAGAACCGGGTTGACCGGGTACTCGGTACCACCGGTACTTAAGAAAACCTGGTACCGTAACGTTTTCATTTTTTTAGTACCGACTTGGTACCGAAATACCGGGTCTTTTGACAACACTAGTCACAACGATTTCTATTTTAAATAAATGCTGTTCTTTTGACCTTTCTATTCATCAGTGATCACAAATGATTTTCTTCTGTGTTTATTCCTAGAAAATAACACCACGATTTGTGTGATTTTACGACATTATGAAAAGAATAGTAAATAAAACATCTCATATGACCTCCTGTGGTGGACAAACAACATTTAAAGCACCTTGTTTTTTTAAATGAGCATTGTTGACTCCATTTTTCAGGCCCAATTTCCTATTCTAGGAAAGTTCTCTTGGAATAAATGGTACTTAAGACTAAATATGTAATCATAAATAGTGTTGTTTTAATTTAGCATGTTTGTTTAGTGTATTTTCGGTCCAATTATGTGGTTGAGCAATGAAATAATCTGTAATGGAATCATTAAGTAGAGTCAGAAGTTGAATTGTTGAATTCGGTGTGATTCCCATATGTATTGTTGAGATTATGAAGTGAATTCGGCAGCGTTTGATTGCCGTCCCAGTGAGCAGTGTGATTGCTGAGGATAAATAACAGCCAGCAGCGGTGTGAAGTGCAGCTCATTACCTTAATTACCTCAGGTAACGTAGCAGATTAAACAGTATTGGGGGAATACGGTAGTTTTCATGTCATTTCAGTTTAGTCTGTGTAAATTTGTTTTGCACACTGAGAAGAAGAGAGTTGGGATGTGTCAGATAGTTTTGGCACATTATATTAGTGAGTGGATAGACCCGAAGTCTCCGGATGAGAAAAGTTCCCCAAGAAACAAACTCTGTAGAAGGTCATTTCTTTATTTATGAGCTGCTGTGATATGATGGATGGAGGGGAAGTCGGGAACGGCAGACAAATCTCTCTAGATGTCCAGGGTGTTATCTTCGTATCTGATGTTTCGCAGTGTTTATTTGTTGTCGTATCTGTAACCATATTGAATGTCATTGCGGCTGTTGTTTTAGTCACGAGTTTGAGTCCGCCTCTCCTCCTCTGGAGGTCACACGTCCATCTGTCTCTGTCTTCACTCCACATCCTCAGCCAACCACCTCGCTGTACTTTCTGGACACATTAAGGACATGTAACAATTTTGGTGGTCATGATTTTTATTTTATTTTTTGCAGTGGGGTTCAAATATCTGAGACCACTTGTGAAATTTGTTTTAATACAACATTTTCATTATAAATAAGCATGATGTCTTTTAGTATTTTGGAGTGTCCTGTTTTTGCTTAAAGGGTTATAATTAATGTCTGAAGATTTCCACTGAATTTAATGTTCATTTTCATATAACACAAATTCAATATATATAAATATATTGAATATATAAACATAACATATTTTTCTGAAATATATCCATGCATGTGTTTGTATTTACATATACATAATAAATATACACAGCACACACACATATATTATGTAAACAAAAACTTTGATTTTGGATGCGATTAGTCGTTTGACAGCACTAATATACTTTTTTTCTTGTGTATTTAATAAGAATCTCATGCTGCCACCACAAAGACCACAAATTGTGAAAATGTCCACTATTTAAGCAACTCTATAATGAGGAAAAGTAAACGCTCGGTTGAGACCTGCAGATTTCCCCTCAGGTCCTGCTCTGTTGACTCGCCTGTATTGCCAAGCGTTGACGAGAAGCAAGATTTCATGCCATAGAGGAAATAACTTCTCCCACTGCCACCTCGCTTCTGATAAGAGCGTGTTCTGCGCTCTCATTCACGGCTATCCAGAACCATTCCCTCCGTCTCTCTTCACAGGACTTAGTTAGCAGCTCTTAAAGCAGTTTAAATAGCGCTGTGGAAAGTAGAAGGCACTTTTTAAATGCTAGGATATCTGTCAGACAACAAAAAACACCATAAAATGGTCCGTATAACTTGTGTGCTATATTTCCAAGTCTTCTGAAGTCACACAATAGCTTTGTGGAAGGAACAGACTATCGTTATTCACAGTCCTTTGCCTAATTGATCACTTACTGTACAATATGTCTCACTTAATGTCTCTCTCTCTTTCTCTCTCTGTCTCTCTCCATCAGTGTTTAAGAATGCGGTGTGTAAGGTGTACAGGTTTCAGACAGTGGACAGTAAATGGATGTTGGTTCGGGAGCAGATGGCGGAGTGTACGCTGTCCTTCAGCATCCCGAAGCAACTCATCGCCCTCTACATTCAGGAGGACACCTGCAGGTAAGAGCCGTTCAGAGGCGTCAGGGCAAACAGGACAGGAGGAAGTAGTGAAGCAGACTTTGAGATTGTTAAAGCGGCACAAAAAGTAATGAGTTGTGGGTGTAATAACTCGTGAGTTAATTTGCCTACTTCTGCTGTGGCTGTTTAGTGCAATATCTGCTGTGAAGAGCCGCCTTCACTGTAAAGATGACAGCCGGTCAATACAGTGTTGTGTTACTCAAATGTGAAATCAAGATAATGAAAACTAGATTTTTTTTTTTATTCATATGGCAGATCCAAAGTACCTTATACTGTTTTCAAGCAATTTGTGTGCTCAGTGAGAATCAAACCCGACTCTGCGACCAGGTGAACTACAGGAATATTCATTAATGCATTTTAATAGTGACAGTTTTAGCATTTGCAACAAATGCAACTTGTTTATTTTGGTAAATGTCACATATTTTTCTGTTATATATACAGTAACTGAAATATTCTTCAATAACATAGTGCAACTATTCAACAAAATAGTGTTTTGGAAAGAAGTGTCTTCTGCTCACCAAGGCTGCATTTATTTGATCAAAATATGTTCAAAAACTGTAATATTGTAAAATATTATTACAAATTTAAATAACTGTTTTCTATGTGAATATAGAAATGTAATTTATTCCTGTGATCAAAGCGGAATTTTCAGCATAATTACTCCAGTCTTCAGTGTTACATGATCCTTCAGAAATCATTATATGATATATTCTGCTCAAGATACATTACTATATTGAAAACAGTTGCTGCTTCATATTTTTGTGTAAATTGTGATACTTTTTCTTTGGTAAATAGACAATTCAAAAGAGCAACATTTGAAGTAGTAACAATATAAATGTTTTATTGTGCTTTTTTGTGCAAAAAAAAAAAAAAAGTTTTATTTTATTTTCTTTTATTGAAAAAAATAAATAAATTCTTACAGACCCTGAACTCTCAACACAGAAAAAATGGTTGATTTGTCTAGGATAGAACCTATAAAGCACAGTAGAAAAAATACTAAACTGACCTTTTTATTTAAAAAAAATAAATAATTGAATTTGAACAGGTATTTTATGTGATCTGGAATGAGCATCAAAGCTTAAACTTTGCAGTTGTCATGATCGATCAGCAGGTCTTGTTTTTCAATGGCTCTGCGTGAGAATGAATAAGCAGCAGAAATATTGAACTAGTGTATAATTATTTTCCTGTTATTGTGATTCATACAATATACATTCACTAACTCAATGTAAAGTGCAATGTCACATCTGCAGTGTAATGATGGTTTAGCTACTCCACAGGGAGAAAAGAACTGTGATTTGTTTTAAAGGGATACTTCACCCAAAAATGATCATTGTCATCATTTACTCACCCTCATGTATGATTATCTCTGTTTCATGCTTCTTAGTTTCTCCTTTGTTATAGAATGAAAAAACTGAGTAAATGATGGCAGGATTTAAACTGTTCCATTCATTTGCGGTTGCGAAGAAACCGATCTAGTATCCAGATCTGGACGAGAATCTGTCTGTAGGAAAGTCACAAAAAAGTCTATTATATCGTGATCTGAAATCTGCAGTGAATATCATACGAATGTCCTACGGCTGAAGTATGGTGACTGCATTGTGTGGTAAGATCCCTGGTGATTCCCGCTCCTAGAGAACAGGTTCAAGTGCAGGTTGAGTGAAGCTGGAATTGTTTGCAAGAACGAATGCGACACAAAAGGCGGTTTGAGCGAGATGCAGAGCGCTTGCGGAGCGAGGGTTTATTTCAGAGATGGAAATGGCTGTTTTAGAGCTATACTTAGCCTGCACTAAATTATTCAAGGATGTTTAACACTTCAAAGGAGAGTGCCTGTCCTCTCTCTCGGAAACTCAACCACCCTCCCTCTCTCCTGCTTTTCTTTCATTTTACCATTGCATTCTCTCTTCCCTCCATCTCATTGTGAGAGAGCTGTAACCTGAGCGTTAGAAGAGAATGGAGTCGCGTGGAAGCGCGAGGTGACGAGAACAAGGGCGCGACGCGAGGAACCTTCAGTGGAAAGCTTTCTAATGCACAGCAGTCAACAATGCACTCCGACACAACGCATAGATGTTTTTAAAGAAACCGCACTGCTCAGTTCCTGTGCGTTTCAGTCAGATGAAGGTGTGATCACACAGCTCAGTGAAAACCTGTGGACGTGTTTACAGATGCTGCAACAGGAGATGTTTTGGGGTTTCTGATGGATGGATGTGACATGACCACCACAGTTCAGTGTGTTGATGCTCGTGAACTTAGACGTTTCATCAGATTCAAATTTATATTCCATTTCAAGACCGGAAGTTAGCAAATAGTATGCAGAATTCAAAATCGAATATATACACAATGATCATCAACACTAATATACCTTATATCTTATTATTAAAGAAATTTTGATTAAAAATATATATGTTGTTATTTTATGTAGCAGTAATCTACATTTTGGAATGTGTTCTATTATTATTTATATTATATATTTAATAAAAAAATAATACATTTTTCTTTTTGTGGAAAAAGCAGATATTTCATGTTTTTATATTTATATTTTTATATATTCATATCTACAGTTTTTGCATTTAATAATTATATCAATTTTATAATTGTATAATATATTTAATATATTTAACATATTATTTTTTTATTTAAATTTAAATGATATGTAAGCATATATTGCATTTAATAATCATATACACAATGATCATCAACACAAATATGTGAGTGAGTGAGTGTATTTTGGTTTTCTATGTTTCTAATATTTGAATTATTGTTTTATTGAATTAATGTAAATTAAATATTATAAATGTATCTGTTGTAGTTTTGTATTAATGTAACTATATAATGTTTCTACTTTAATTTACACATTCAAATCTAAGAATTATTAAATATATGAAAAAATAATATAATAAATGTAAAAGGATATTGTATAGTATATAAAAAAAGTATATATTATATTAATATATTTTCAATAATATAATGTAATATTTTGATATTTTTAATTGAAAAAATTGTGGACATTTTATAGTGCTTTATGTCAAAATGTGAAAAAAATATTGGCTATGGTTTATATTTTTGTACTTTTAGTGAAATATGTCTAAACAGAATATGTACAGTATATTCTGCATATGAGAGAATAAATAGGCACAATTAGTCACATTTTTATTTATTTATTTTTTTACCAAAACTTCGGTGTCACTGTGTGGAATTTCTATGAATTGCAATTTAATAAATTCCACTTACTGTCAGTTGGTTTTGAGGCCAATTCAGTTCAAATATCACACTTGTAAACTGAATGGAGTCTGTTCTTAAATTCAGGATTTTGTCCAATCCTTGCACTAAAAGCTAGATGAAAACTTAGTAAACCATTTGTGATCTTGTTTCTTACCGCAGAGCAACAAGCTGAACAATCTCACAGCTTCATTTGCTCTTTGTTTCCAGCTCTCGCTCTTTCCCCAGAGTTTCTGTTTTTATGTACATGCACAACACTTCTCAGCATGTACCGTAATCCGCGGCAACTTCCCAAAGTCGACAGGTATTAGCATAGGCATGTTTTCATCTGTCCAGGCCGTGAGGGTGTTTGGCCATTGAAGAATCTGAGATCATTAACTCGGCGAGACACACATTCCCAGACTGGAGCTCCCATAGATCAGACCCTGCTAAGCAATTATCATCATGTGTGCATTATTCAGCGAGGCTATTTGGCCTCAACACCTGCTCTCCTGCTACAGACAGGTAACTCAAGCAGCCATTTCTATCCCTAGACATCTAATTATCGGCCCGGGCGCCGCGTTCACCTTTAAGGCCATTTCAGCTGCTGTTTTGGCTCTGGTTTAACCACAATCGCATATGATTCAAAGAAAAGAGATATCATGTCTCAAGTAATCGAATGCAATGTGAGGCTGATGTTTTATCATTAGCGGTGTTTGCTAAGCATCACTGTTACTGTTGTGATTCTCATCCGCCCACAACACCGGCGAAACTCACATTATCTTCAGCAATTGTCAAACACTAGTGTTTGTTTGTTATGAATGAGACCTTTTGTTTTTCTGTCGCTTTCATTGGACTGACGTCAACGGAAATTCACAGTGTCGTTCACTGCATGTGTCCTTCAGAAGTCAACATGACATCCAAATTGGACCTATTTTCTTGTGTAATGCACATTCCTGCTTTTATTTCTTTTGCGTGATTCATCGCAAAAATGTCAAGAATTTTCATGTCTTCGTAGTTTTTAAAAAACAAATAAGCTCTTCACCTCTGAATTGACTTTCCTTGTCAGTTGACATAGCTAGTCTAATTTATTTTCTATGCAACCCAGTTAGTTCCTGATGCATATATTGAGGTCCTGGCCTATGCTTGTTTTCATCTGTAAGTATCTGTTTATCCTGAAATTACATTTAATATTGAAAGTTAAGTGGGTTTTAAATGCCATCATGTTGACTCTACAGAAGTCAGCCTTTGGAAACCAAGAGGTCAAGTTTAAAGTAATTATTTCCATTTAGCCCCCTGCTGGACTCTATTGTAACTACAACAATTTTAGGATCAAAAGTGATCTTTCTCCATTCAAAAAGCTAGCTATTCAAAACTAGCAATGTATTTAAGAAATGAAATAGCAGACTTTATTATAATAGATGTTTCACCAGTGTCTGATATTTATTTACGTATGTATAAAATGAATAAAATAAAATAAATTTATGTATTTATTTCATTAATTATTTTTAATTAATTAACAAAGCATGACATTGGTTTATTTTCCCCTGTTTTTAACAAAGTAAAATAGCAAACATTTAATTTTATTTCCATGTATGACACAAGTGCCCAGTATATACTAATTTTTTTTTTGTCATTGTTTATTATTTTACTTATATCTTCCATGTCTGCTGTCTTTGAAAAAATAGCAATTTTCATTATATCTTATAATAGATGTTTTGCCAGTGTCCGAAAGCTTGGCATTGACTTATTTTTCCCTGTCTGCTCTCTTTAAAGAAATAAAATAG